GCTCAGTGCCATTAATCTTAATAGAGCCTGGCTCACTCGAATCAGTGGTCAAGTACTCTGTCTTCTTCACGTTCAGCCTGAGGCCAAACATAGCCAGACGGTCGGACCAGGTTTGCACCTGTTTCTCGAGCAGATGTTTGTCTTCGCAGGCGAGCATCACATCGTCAGCATACAGAAGCGTCCATGGAGCGGGCTTCTGAAGATCACGCGAAATGGCATCCATAACGACAATGAATAGGAGTGGGGAAAGCGCAGAGCCTTGGTGCACACCGACCGAGATGGGAAATTCCATCGAAGTACCTGCCACCGTTTGCACCCGACTCCTTGAGTTCGAGTAAAGTATGCGCACCCACTCAATGAGCTCTTCGGGAACGTCGTGCTGTCGTAAAGCATACCATATAACTTCTCGAGGAACGCGATCAAAAGCCTTCTCCAGGTCCAGGAAGGCAAGATGCACAGCTTTTCTTTTCTCGCGATGTCTTTCCAGCAGAAGGCGGGCGGCGTGTATGCATCGATGGTGCGCAGCCTGACACAAATCCACACTGGTTGATGGAAAGCTGCACGATGTCACGGAATACGGCCGTCCACAATTCGCTCAAAGATCTTCATGCTGTGCGAGAGCAGGCGGATTGGACGGTAGCTCGTACAGTCAGCAGGGCTGCCTTTCTTCTTCCAAATCGGAATCGTTGTGCTCTGCTGCCAAGCTCTCAGGCACCTTTCTCTCTGCTACGATCTGGTTGAAAAACGTGGTCAACCATTCAGCAGGACACCAGCATTTCGACTTCCATATGTCGGCCGCCAGATCATCGGGTCCTGTAGCTTTTCCCGACTTCATCTTCTTCAGAGCCATTTCCGTTTCCTCCACGGTTATTCTCTGCACAGGACCTTGCACTGGTGGAACATAAGGGACTGCTGGATGAGCAAATTCTTCAGCTGAGATGTTCTCGAAGTAATCGTGCCATCGCTTCACTGCTTTTTGCGGTCCGTCAGGAGGTGACCATTTTCGTCGTTGATGCCGAAAAACTTCTCGATATCCTCGGACTGGCGATGACGGGCTTTGGCGAGGCGATAAATATAGCGTTCACCATCGCGCGTCTCGAGCTTCTCGCTGACATCAGCAAAGTGTGCAGCTTTTGCGGCAGCAACGGCCTTCTTTGTCGCACTCTTAGCTGCCTGATAACTTCGCCAGTTGTCGACAGTCTTATCGCCAAGAAATACGTGGTATAGCCTCTTCTTCTCACGTACTTTTTCTTTAACATCGTCCGTCCATAGCCACGCTTGCTTGTCGATCTTCCGTCGCCCAGGTTTTGTTGTGCCGAGTTCGGAACGGGCAGAACGGATTATCGCCTCGGCAGCACTTTTCCAAGTTTCATCAACAGTAGTGACTGCCGGCAACTGAATGTTGGATATCACGACCGTCTCCTTCTCTTTCAAACGCCACCACTTGATTCTCGCTGGTCCACACCGCTCGATTGTGTTTCATTTTCGGAGAAGCGATCTTCAGCGTGCAAATCAGCGGTCGATGTTGCGTGGTGACAGTCTCATACGGCACCGCCTTTGCGTCTGTTACGAGCCCTCGATCGCGTTGCCTGACGAGGACAAAGTCGATTTGCGTTCTGGTAGTACCGCTGTAGAAGGTGATGAGGTGGGAATCACGTTTCCGGAAATTCGTATTCACGATGGTGAGATCATGCGAATTTCGCGTACTCAAGAATTCGTTCGCCATCGGTGTTATTCGTATAAGTATGGTATAATGTATTGACCCATAATCCAAATCCACATGACAGTTTGTAACATTCTTTAGCCATCGCCCGACGTGACGGCGTAGAGGCACACTGCAACATGGAAAAAGAAGAAAGATAAGGTATACGCATACATGATGAGAAACGGTACATCTGCGGTCTTTTCATCCAGCAGGGTCCAGAACTCATCTTTAGCTCGCTCAGAGCAGCCAGTCTGCGGAGCATATGCAGAAGAAGAAGTGGTATCGCTTACGTTCGATGACGACAACAAGCTTCATTAGACGGTCGTCAAAGCGATCAACGCTTACGATCGAGTCACGGAAGCGGTCAGAAACAACAACTCCGACCCCACTGGTGGTTCTAGGACCGCCACAGAGAACGGCTTTGAAGCCTCGTCGATCACACCACACCTCCTCGAGAATTAGGCTGCAGCAGCGACACACACTTGTTTTCCTTGCCACTGGGCCACCACGTAAAATATAGTGATTCCGCCTGTCGGCGCTCTAGAGCTACTGCTTAACTCGTACATGGAATAATGCAAGACTATGTGCGCTAGCCTAGTATGTAGTTGCCCCCCGATGCCGTCCTTGCATCGGAGACCCTCGCATACTTTTCACACTCGCCGGGCTTTGCGAGTGCGCGTCGGCTCCCGCGGACGCCGTAGCATTATCTCGAGATCATATAGCGACATTGACATTTGTGATGTGACGTGGGTGTTCGTAGGCCGGCCTGTCACGGGGGCCTGTCGCCTGCATTCGAATGTCCGCGATCAGCTCAGCTCACAAAAGTGAGCAGTTCCCAGTGGCACCCGCCACTTTTTCAAGACGATATTGTGACAGTTAATTTGAAAGCCGAGTATGCTGAAAGTAGAGTCGACGTCTTGAGATAATGAGTGGCGATGAGATACAGAAGCGGCCGATGTCAGACTTTGCGATTGGAGCGATTGTGCACCAATTGCAGGAGCGACGGGAGATTTACACCGCCGACCACCGATAATTCGGCGCCATCAGCTCGTAAATCTCCCGTCGCTCGCAGCTCCCTTGCCACAACGGCCAAGGAGGCACATCACGGCCATTCAAGGTCTTGACATCGGCCAATAAATGGCATCCTAGCGCAAGAGAGAATACAACAACAATGCAGGATATTGTGGTTTTTTTCTTGTCTATGGATACGAAACGCGGTGCTAACTTAGTTGGGGGGGGGGGCACGCGGCGGCGCGGCAGTCTGCTCGCCTGGCATGTTCGGAAATCCGTGGGCCAGGGGGAGTGTAGGCAGTCTAGGGGGTGGGGGGTGGGGGCAGTCACTTGACATGCGTGAAAAGCTGGAATGTTCGAGTTTACACTGTCTCGCTCGAGAGAGCCCAGGTGAGCAGACTGCCCGCGTAATTCGTATGTTTGATTAGTGTGCAAACTCACCTAGTTCCTTGTACACGCAACATAATTGTTCACCCTGCTTGGAGCTTGCTCCACAAAAGCTATACGAAGTTATATCGGCACGAGGTGATTCACCTAATGCCCCTCCCCCTCACCTCATACTGGAAGGTTGCCATTATTTCATTTGTTTCAAATCGTGATTTTTTCGTTCACACTTCTTTATCCATGTGATTGATGTCGTAACTGCTGGTTAGAAAGGTGATTTCAGATTTCATTCATGTATTCCCGGTTACCGACGGGTTACATAACAAAGTCGACTATCATTGTGGTGGGAGGTGGTTTGCTCGGATACGCGGCTACTGAAATGCTATGGGGCTCCGAGACTTTTTACAATAAAGCGGTTTGTTTCTGAGCATCTCTTTCATAAATTATGTTATAAAAAGTGGGATCAACTGTTTGCAGGTGATGCCGCTTGTTCATAAGCACATTGACGGGGAAGCAGCCCACAATCTCGCCGTTCGTGCAGCTTCTTGGGGTCTCATTCCGCGATTTGGACCCAATCGAAGGGAATATGACGAACTAGCATGTGAGGTTCGACTTTATCATACAAAGCTAAACATTAACTCGAAAAATACAATGTTCTCTATGCTTGTTGATGTTGAGAATGCTTGCAGCATAACTGTTTGCGACTTTTTTGACTGCACCGCCAGTGAAATTCGGTGCCTGCTTCAAAACGGCGCTATTTGACTTTTGTGAAAAAGAATGTCATATCGTGACAGGGGGCGACCAAATAAACCCTGCACGCAAGTTTTCTATGAATTTTCTGGAAGCAGCTGTTGCACCATATCGATGCAGTTTCGCCCTAATTCACACCCACGCCAATAATAAACGTGAGATTAGAAAAATTCATTCCCTGGCATAATAAATTGGATAGGGCCGAATTTTGAAACTTGTGAAATTGTTTTTGAATAAAATTAAAGTGAATAAAGATCCCCGGGCTTGAGCAACTTATTGTAAGTATGAAGCTTGCTTTCAACACAAAAACATTTCTCAAAACTGCTATTGCTCACTAAATTTTTTAAAGCCTCTCAGTCACCGGTGGCTGACATTGTCCCCAGTGAACGTCTTCGTGTCAGCCACCAGTGGCATTCATTAATTCGACATTGTCGCGAATGGGTTAAAGAGACCGACTGATAGTGCCACTTTTGACAGTATAAGCATTGTTCTCGGGCACAAACTTGCCGCAAAGTCGTCAATTTTCGCGCACGAAAGTTCTTGGCTGCATGATAACTCTCGATCACGTATCGCGAAGAAAGTTCAGGAAAGGAAAATGTATCGAAGCTTTCCCCGTTATTCTGCTCTAACCAAATCTTCCTCATCAGAATGCCACCTGTTTCGTCCATAGCTCATCCTGGAAATGTAAGTAATACGATTTTACCCAGCATGGAAATGGATATTCAGCACTTCTTGGATCAGCAGCCTGTCTATTCCTGGGAGGGAGGTATTCAAACTCAAGCGGACCAGGCTGACAGTTCTGGCTGATTGTGGCATAATTATTCGGAATGAAGTTGAATTCCCTAAAAAATATAAGTTTTTTTTAAAGATTCTTCGTC